TAGTTTTCAGAAATGACTGATTGCTGGCAATTTAGGGCCTTCATGCTCTATAAAGGTGACTGAGAAGTCATCTGCTGGGAGTACTCATCTGTGCTCCTCAAGTGATTTCTGGGCCTTGAATACCCATTCTGAGACTTGTGTGCTCAGTCTCTGTATAATCCTAATGTTTGAGTTTATGAGAACTGGAGTATTTTAATAATTATTGTCTTGTACACTTCAGTACCTCTGACTTAGAGATGAAAGAAAACCTCAGCTTTGCTTTGTTTTTAAGCAGTAATCATTTCATGACGAGGTTTTAAATACTTTACATGATTTGAATATTTCATGGAATGACAGCTGTAGCAGAAGTAGTTGCCTAGGAAATAAACCACCTTCTACAAGTGACCTACCTAAAATCCACCCTACCCAAACCACTGAGTAGAGGTCAAAACTATTTAGTTTCTTCCTGTGAACTTCCTCATCCTCCCTTACTCCATGAATACATCAAAGGGCTAAAATACAGCTTATACAGCTTCTGGCCAGGTGTGAAACAAGTTTTGCTGGAAACTCTCGGAATCTGGGATTTCAGGCTCTTCAGCATAGCTCCATCCAGAATTGTAGTTGCCCCAGCACCACAACTCTAGGTGAAGGGACTAGGACTACATGATTTCTATGATTTCTTAGTTCAAATTTCTCAGCATAATTTTTTGCTAAATGACTGCATCTCTTCTTTTCCTCTCCAAGCAAAGCATTATTCCGAGTTTACATCTTTAAAATAAGACATTATTTGGGAAAAGATTAATCTCCACATTCCATGATTTGTAGTGCTGAGGAAATTGAAGGTTGGGTATTGTGATGAACATTTAGCAGTAAAAGAGAAACCAGGACCGATTTTTGTGGTAAGGATAGTAGCACAGTCCTGGGCATAGCCCTGGGATTTAAACAATACAAATGGACAGCGTAGAAACATCAACAGCGTGAGAGAATCCAGGACACAGTTTTGTGAAAACATGTTCTGTTTCAATCGAGATGACTTTACTTAAAATGTGATTGGCAGTCCCCCAGAGAGAACAAAGATACTGTTAGACTGCCAGAGACACTATTCTCCTGCAAAGATGCAATCCTTTTACTCATGTGTCATATCTGCATACAGCATCCCTGCATCCACAGTGGGGACCTGGAATGTCTTGCCCTCACAGTGACCTATTACCAGCATGACTAATGTATGACCCATAGATTAAGGCAATTCTTTATGCACATCAGAGAATGACTTTAATTTGACTCTTCCTTAAATAAACAGTGCTGTTATGTAAACTAGCAAGCCTTGTTTCAGTCCTTCCCTGAGAGTTAGAACAGATTGGTGCCTTCAATGGACGACTCATTCTATATGCAAGTAGTTTATTAAATCTTTGCTGAAGGCTTTATAATTTCTATAGCCTACTTTGTATAAAAATGAAATTGGCCAGAGTTTTTTGACAAATAAATTTAAGTTTTTAATTGTATTTAAACTAATTAATTGTTAGCTATTCAGTACTGCTACAGGTCTTTTCCTTTATGCACTTTGTGGCTACTCTGATTATGCCTGTAAATGGTGATGCAACAGCAGGCAGATATAATTTTTATATAAATTATCAGCAGTGATAATTGACTCTTGGGTGAAGGTTCACAAAAAATTCTCGGGAATAGTTAAAATTAATTTTCACTCCTGTTTAACACTCGACATGGCAAAAACTTCAGTGGAAGAATGAGGTTTTTATGCAAATGTAGAGTGAGATACCAGTTTACAGATCTTTGCATGTTAAAAAAAAAATTCTGATCTAAATTAATAAATGCTTATTAGCATGTAGTGATTGCTGCCCTTTCTTTGCTTTGTGAAGATGCATTTCAAGTAATTTGAGACATACAAAGAGCCCCCTGAATGTTAAACACTCGTGGTTAAATGTATATGTAACTAATTAAAATCATAGCTACCTCATGCAGGCTTAGCTGGCCAATTGAGCAGGGATTGGACCAGATGACCTTCAAAAGTGCCCTCTAACTTCAAGTACTCTTCGTCTTGAAGTTTCAAGTTTGGATTCTGACTCTCTTAAGCCTCTTTTTCAACTAGGGAAAGTGGATTTATGTAGAGCAGTTTTGCACAATCTTGCAATGGCATTAATGTCAGAGTGGGAATATCTCAACCGTTGAGATTTCACATCAGTGTCTGAAACATTAACCTTCAAAGAATTATAATGTAATCTGCAAGGAGGTAAATAGATGTTTCTTTTCATATCTACATTACTAGATTTGAAAACTTTTTGTAGTCATAAAAATAAAAGCAGATTTCAATATGCATTTGGGTATAATCTAGGATTTAACAAATTTGTTTTGGACATTAAAAGCTCTTGAAAAATTTAGAGGATATAATCAGAAAGACTTATCCTAAAGTCTCAAGGAGATGAAAAGGACTTTGTCATTATAACTTTCATTAGTATTAATAGCATTGCATAGGTAAAGTCCTGGTCATGTGGATAGAGATGCACCTCAGATTGCTCTGGCTGGTGTGCAGGTTTACACAGAGACACATTTAGACAATAGCATACCCATACTAACTTATGGAATTCTGATAAAAGCTGGAATTCAGTGGCATTTGCCCCTAACTACATTGGCTGTGTTCTCTCTCCTCTGTCTCCCACTAATCTCTTGAAGTATTTGCTGGTTTTTGAGATGTGGAGTGCCAAAACGACTTGAAATGAGAGATTCGCAAACAAATAAGTAGGTATTTCTTTCATGCAAATAATTTCCAAGAAGAAATGGAAGTTTTAGTGACTTTTGGCCACTGTTCAATAAGGTTGTTCTAGATCTGAGAAAACCACTAGACAAACCTACTGCTAATCTTGCACTGTCTAGGACACCAAATTCTGCTAACTAGCTGTTTTGAAGTTTTCTCATTACACTGATGTTCAGTAACACACTGCCTTTATGAAAGAATGCATTTGATTTACTTTTTCTTTTCCATTCAGAAATTTACAGCCTTTTCAGAGAATGAATGTTTAATTGGTTATAAGACAGGAATGTGCCTTTCTATACATAAAGTTTTATTTCTTCATTCTCTTTGCATGGTTTGAAAACATATAATCTTGTGCCTTCTCTTTGCAAAGACTCTATTTAGAAAGGTGTTTTTTTTTCCTTCAAGAGAAAGAACTTGGCTTCAGTTATGCTCCTTTGAATTACAGTTAGAACTTTGAACTCCACACAGCTGAATAAACAGATTTCCCCAATTTAATTATATTGGCCTGTTTGTCAGTACGAGCAGAATACTATGTGGCACATATCCAATTAAAATCCTGCTTTTCACTGTCAGTAAAAGGTTCAGGCTTATGCAGCCGGAAGGAAGAAGTTGGGTTGCCAGTTCTTGACCTGGGAAGCTGAAGCTCCCAGGTTCATACCACTGGTGCTGGGTGGCTTAGGGCGCCTGGAGGCTGCTCTCAGTGGTGTTCAGTACATGTAATGAAGACACAGATTAATCAATCCAAGCTCAGCTCAATGCAGTGCAAGTCTGGCTGCCGCTTCATGCTACACATTCCCTGTGCACAGTCTCAGGCTGCTTCAAGTGTCACTGTACCAGGGAGCAGAGTCTCACATGGAGAGGCCCAGATGTGCTGTGGTTCTGTCCTGTTAGGTTGCACCCATAGGGAAGAAAGGACCCAAACCCTCCTTCATAATTCAGTTGTATTTGTGCAGTTGGTTTACAGCTCCCAAAGCCCAACACGGGAGAGCCTTCAGGCCATCCATTCTGAGCAGGTCCAAGCTGAATGCAGCAGGATAACACTGTAGGAAAGAGTGGGCACAACCTCAGCTGAGATTGCAGGTAACGGAGTGGTGCTCTCAGACTCTGGGACCACTCCTCCCTACACTACTGTACCCATGACCACAGTCAGCTGTGCCTCTTTCAATCTCATGTGCCAAGTGTAAGATGCAGGCCCCATGAGAATCTACTTCTCTGAGCTCTTTCCCACTCCTGTACAGATTCTGGCTGAGTGGGAAAATAAATTTTCTGCTTTTGACCCATTTGTATCCAAGTTCCACCCACTGGTTTAAGAAATTTGTAGTATCATTAAGATTTTTCATATCCAGCAGTGGTCAAACTTTGTCACAGAAGCAGGTCAGGAAAGACGGACACTGGTATTTTATGCAAAAAACAGTTGCCTAGCACTGTTCAGCTGATTACCACTGATATCCTGAAATTAAAATATTCTGTCATATTCTAAAGTAGTTTCTATATTCTCCTCTAGAACTGAAGGCACAGATTTTGAGAAAACAAAAAATCCATTATTCTGACTCCTAACTTGCCTTTTTTTTTTCTTTTTTTTTTTTTTTTTTTTTCCCTGTGCTAAGCAGGTTGAATTAGATCTGCTGTCATCCTGCTCAGTAGCAGAAAAAAAACAGCAGACAGACTTTTTATATTCTCTGGGTTCTGGTTAGCAAAAGTGAAAATGAAAACCCTTGGCAAAAATTTGTGCTGAACTTTCCAAAATCACAATAGGCTCAAGTTCATCAGAGTGGAGAAAAGCTGTGTGACAGTTAGTTTGAATGAATCTAATTATCAGTTGTGTCAGTTATGTGGTGCATCGAATCATTCTTTCCAAGAGAAGTAATGCAACAACCCTGTGTACATAATAAGTGATATTTTGGGGGAGAGTTGCATAAGCTGAGTGACAATTAGATTTGTTTCATAACAGGTCCCACCTGAGGCAGGGAGAGAAAAAATAGGCACGGCAAAGGTGATGAGCACTGATGTTCCTTCGAGTAGACAGAATATGGTATCAACTGTACTAGAAGGAAATGCTGCTCAAGTGAACTGTAACCTCAACTGTTACATGGCACCTTTACTGGGAGTCTCCTTTTATAAAGCAGGCAATTTTTCAATGTTTTGTACAGTATTATTAAAGCCTGAAGTGGGTGTATTTTGTCTCCCAAAAAAGTTACCTGCCAATTTGTATTTTTCAAGGCTATTTCTTAATTTTTTAATTCTTTAATTCTTTATCAGTTCCACCCAAAAGGGAGATGATGATTATGAAGATTACACTTCAAATAAGACTTGGGTTTTGACTCCTAAAGTCCACGAGAGTGATGTGACTCTTATTTTAAATGGCTTGTTGGAAGGATATGACAACAAGTTGAGACCTGACATAGGAGGTACGTTGGTTTTCTTTCTAGACCACTTTGGATTAAGCAGTGAGGAGAAATAATTTTCATGTCATATGATTGCACACAGGAAGCAGAATCCATTCAAAGTAGTTATGAGAATGAAATACAATGCAGTAAAACATCAGAGGCATGAAAAGTAGTCATGAATTTGGAAGCCGACATAACTTAAGATTGCTGAATCTATCCTAAAACATCTAATAAGACTGTTGTTACATTGGTGAATCAGGTTGCCTGTAGTAATCTGCCTGCATAGGAAGTTCTAAATTTAACTTCTGGGGACTGAAAAAGCAAGTTTTTATTTCCTTTTTATACCTAAGTGAGGGTGTTAGAGAATCACAAATAATATATTGAAAAGGAAGGTCAAAAAGACGATACCACAGCCAGATGCTGGTATGATGTGATAAATACAGAGCCTCCAACGGCAGCAGGTCTGCACTGACTGATGCAGCCTGGGCCGTCACTTGCACAGCAGGGCAAGAGGTGATGGAAATGAATGGGGCACAGAGAAAGAGGTTCACAAAAAATAAATGCAGTCAGCCAAGGCCAATCTCCCCAGATGTTTCCCACAGCCAGTATAGGTATATAGATCCAAACCTTGACTCGTAATGGAAGTCTTATCTGACTGAATCACATTTCACAGGAATCTTCCTCTCCGCTGATTAGTGAGGGAACTCAAAGAGAAAAATCTGCCTGAATTGCTCCAAGTCTGTTTGAGAAGCCCCATGTGTGCACAGCACAGGCAGACAATACCTCTGGAGAAGAGGATGCAGCAGTAATAAGATTATAGAAAAAATGCAGGCAGATTTCATGGCTGAGGAAGCACAGGAAAGCAGAGAACAGCAAGGTTAATGAAGGAACCTATTTGAAACAAGTTTACAGAGGCTTGTAAAGCAAGGAATTTTTCACAGTGGGGGATAACATGAGTCTTTAACCTTCAATGTACATATACAGTGTAAATTAGCAGAGGAACTCACCTTATTCTCCTAATCCAAGACTTCAGAAACAGAGAGGAAGTAGACATTCTTAAAAGCAATTAGGAAAAAAAATCATGTTTTAGTCGAGGTTATAAGAATAATAAAGCTACAATAGATTAATTTCCAAATAAATTGATTCTAACAACTGTTCTTCATTTCTGTTTGAGAATCTTGAGTATTAATTTTGCTTTGGGCTCCTGAAATTGCTACTTGCCTGCAGCCACCTCTGCAGGCAACAGCAGTCATGTTGCATTTGGCATTATAGAGTAAAACAAGTGGTCCAAAACATCATGAGAAAAATAAGTTTGCTCTCATTGATAGCGTTTTGTCAGATGTGTTGCTGTGACCTGACACAAAATATACATCCTCTCAGTCAGATATGAGTTGCTCTAAGCTAACAACATTGGTTTCAGTATTTGTTCTCACAGCATAAGGGAATTAGTTCTGATAGAATAAGTGATACAAGAATTTGTCTCAAAGTGTCTCCAGCTAATTTCAAACTGAAGACATTGTTGCAAATTTATATTTATTGTATATGCACATTTAAATGTGAGGCAACCACAGCCATCCAGAACAGGTACTATAGTAATATGACTGTGTTTGACTTCCATGTAGCTGACTTTGACTTTCATTCATTTTAGTGCTTCTTATACTTTTCTTCCAGTTAAACCGACAATAATTCACACTGACATGTACGTAAATAGCATTGGGCCTGTGAATGCCATCAACATGGTACGTAAATGATTGTCAGTTTTCCTTGTTACCAAGTCTCCATCATTTTGACGTTACAAAGCTTCCATTAGTTCTGATGTTGTGCTGTATCTGTATTATTTCTAAAACCTCATTGTAATTATGAATGTGAGGACTATTATGAGGTATAAATCTATACGAGATGGGAAAACTGAGCTCTATACTGAAAGAATGTAATAATAATAGTTTTTAACATACCCACACAGTTTCATGTGCTCTGCTTTCACATGCTTTGGGACAGTTTAACTCCTGTAAAACTAAGCTTCCAGATTGTTACAAAATAAAATTGGTTTTTATAAATTCTGGGATCATTTTCTGTAGTTCAGTTTTTTCATGTGAAATTAAGTAAAACATATCAGGAGCTAGGTAAAATGGTGAGTGCTATGTTTTCATCAGTATTTCTGGTTAACACAACAGGAATATACAATTGATATATTTTTCGCCCAAACGTGGTATGACAGACGTCTGAAGTTCAACAGCACTATAAAAGTGCTCAGATTAAACAGCAACATGGTTGGGAAGATCTGGATACCAGATACATTTTTCCGAAATTCGAAGAAAGCTGATGCTCATTGGATAACAACTCCTAATAGGATGCTCAGGATCTGGAATGACGGCAGAGTCTTGTACACATTGAGGTATTTACACATAACATTAATTTCAGTTTCTCTAAGGAAGCCAGAGAAAGACCCACTGAATTCAGGTCATTTGACACTAACCTGAAGGAAAAAACATTGGGGTTTCCTGTTTATTTATGCATAAAACTTTGAAAAAGGAAAGTATTTAGAAGATAGTCATTGCATGAAATTTATTTTATATTGGCACAATAAAGAATTTTATTTCTTCCTATAGATTGTACTGTCTTGCTCCACAGTTGTCACCTTCCTATATTAAAATGACTACAGATATTTTTTTAGTAATTAATCTTCATTTTCAGGTATGTTTTATTATGTGCCACTGATTTGGTCCGTAATGTCTTTTACCTTTTTATTGCACTAAACTGATAAATTTGAATTTTCCTTGAATTAAGTAGATGGTATAAAAGGAGATACTATATACATCAAAGGTGTCTTATTCTGAACTGATTACAGTTTAGCTAGATGAAGCTCCACACTGCAAAAGCATTTTGTCCCTCAAATATCTTGTGAGAGTAAGGTTTATCATTTCAGCATTGAACATTTAAGGTTTTATCCCAACCTATGGATATGCCCCATTCCACTAAAATTTTCATGAACCTGAAATTGATATGCTCATGTCCAGATTTCCCAGTCATGTGTAGCTTCCCTTTGGAGACAGATTCGCTTTTCAGTAATTAAGTTATGTGTATGCCTACATTTAAGTGTAGCATATGCCATATGTAACAACTCAAATACCATACTAAAAATCACCATATTTCCTAAATTGGAAAATCATAAGTGTTTGAGGTTTGGGGTGTTTTTTTACATGTGATACAATAATTGGGTTTGTGTAAAATATAGATAAATACAGCATTTTGTAAAGATAATCGATAATTTTAAATGAGAGAATAGAATCATAGACATAAGATCATCTGAGTTTTAGACTGAAAGTTTAGAAGAAAATTATACTCATAATTTTAATGAATAGAGGTGAGGCTTTGGTTAAGACGTTCTTTTAATGTTGGAGCTGTCTGAATTACAAAAAGGAGCTTTATTGCAGAGTTATTTTACATTCATTACATATTGCAACACCGGAATAGTTAAGAGAACATTCGAAATTGAAGTCCAATGCAAATCAAAGTCAGTCTGATAAAAATGATCCCAGATCCACTTTGGAAATGTTAAATTTGAACTTGGCTACACTGTTGTCTCTTTGGGTTTCATTACCTTTCTCTTCAAATTCCTCTCATTCTCTAATGAGAGGTTCTCTCATTAGAGGGAGATGTACCTGATAGAACTTAGAAACAGTTTTCTGTTATGAGTGTATACTCATTTGTGCTAGGGAGCCACAGTAAGCACCAGTAAGGATCTGACCTGGATTAAACCACAAGTGCAATGTGATTTTATCACATCTGGGATTCTGTTCTGAAGAGAAGAGAGCTCCAAAAGGGCTGATTGAGTTTTCTCAATCACCTCCTCCCAGGCTGACCATTCTGACCAGCAGGAAATCAAGTATCTGTGATACTCAAGATGATGAAAATGAAAAGAAGAAGGGCAACAGGGAAATTAGATTTGCTCCTAAATTCCTAATGTTTCCCTTTGACTTCATTAACTTGGTGGTTAGTGGTCACAGCATCCCCCTGCATCCCACAGTGTGAGACTCAGGGAGCCATTTGCAGGCACGAACACTCAGGATCCCGGAGACAAACCCTGCTCACAGACTGATTAGCAAAGGCCAGAAACCTACAATTTTCCTAGAGACTCATGGAACAAATAAACATTTTCCCCCCTCCTTTTCCTTTTTTCCTCTCTTGCCCTACCTCCTCCCTCCTTTCCAGAGTTCAGGTATCCCGCTGCTCATGGCAAGGCTGGGACCGAATGAAAAATGGTAGATTTTTTAGCAGGCACATCAGGGGGTATATTTAATCTAATTTTGGATTTCTAAAAGTACATGCCTTCACCTGACCTATAGCACCTATGCTACCTGAGTTATTATGGAGATTCTTCTAATATTCAGTGGAGAGAAACACCTTTTGGTTCATTGTTCTTCAGTGTTAATGTAAATGTCATATTTTGGGATGAAATAAAGTGTATCCTTAGAGCACCTTTGCATCAGCTAGAAGGGAGTCTAGATGGCTGTCTTGGATGCAAATGTCTAAATCTGGACTGCCATCCATAATTTCTGAAATAGAATTTTTGTCACAGAAAATACATTTCCCTAGTGCATTATGGCATGTGGTGACACAAAGATTTGTCACTGGTCATGAGATGACCTGTATATCTACTTATGGATTTGTCAGTCATGAGTAATGCTGCCGTTTCAGATGCACAGGAACAGAACTTTATTACCTTCTTCCGTTACCCAGTCTGAAAAGATGATTGGGCTCTATGTAAGCAAAAAAGAAACAGTGGTTATTGGTAAACATGATGTCTTCCTATGCTTGGAATATTCAAACAATTACATAATTATCAATAATTTACTTCTGCTCTCTCTCTCTCTCTTTCTCTCTAATATTTACATATTTCATAGTCAGGATCCATATTATGAAGAATCTTATTTTGCTTGCCATGATGTAGCTTTCAGGACAAACTTCTCAAGTGCATTCTGTATATCCTGATCTCTTCTCAGGCTGACAATTGATGCAGAGTGTCAGCTACAGTTACACAACTTCCCAATGGATGTGCACTCCTGCCCCCTGGAATTTTCAAGCTGTAAGTAACTTGCTTAAAAATATCCCTTTTCTGACCCACACTGAACTGCTTATTATAAATTTATATTTACATTCTTAGAGTCAGTGAAGATAATGTTCTTAATTAGACATAGCCCAATGGTTTTCATGTTTATTTTGATCTTATTTTCAGTACATGGGTCACATATGTTCACAAATAAAACTGAGGAATGCTATGTAAAAACCCCCCAAATTTCTGGACCCTATGTGATTAGTTTATGTTTATATCTGAGCATAAAAGTAGAAATGTTTACTTTCAGCATCAAAGTCCCATGGCCTTACACTTTCTGTCTGTGCACAGGTGTTTTACACAGGTGTTTATTGCACTTGTTGGACTCAAGTTGGACATTTTGCAGTCAGGTCAAGATGTGAATTCTTGGTCCAGCTGCAGACTTTTTTTGTGTCCAAAACTGAATAATGGGAAAAACTGTATACTATAAGGTCCACAAAAGCGGAAAACCTATTTTTGAAAAATTTATCTCAAATGTGATTTCAATTTGTAATTAATAAATTAAATGTGACATTAAGTAAAAGGCACTACTAAGTAACTTGGGGAAAACATATCCATAATTTATTTGCAATATGCTTCTCCAGTTTTTTTCAGAAATAAAAAATAGTATTTTTACTACCCAAAGTACACCCAAACCCTAGCAATGACTATCAACCAAAGCCTTCTGTATTTTCCATTGCAATAAGATGGCTATCCAAGAGAAGAGATCATTTACCAGTGGAAGCGCAGCTCAGTGGAGGTGGGGGACACCAGGTCCTGGAGGCTTTACCAGTTCGCCTTCACAGGATTAAGAAACACAACTGAGGTGGTGAAAACTACTTCAGGTAAGACAACTGATGTGTTTACCTCCAGGTTCATTTCAGATTTTATTACCAGAATCAAACGAAGAAAGATATCTCTGCTTAGATCTTAGCATTGGCACTTCTCAGTACAATTACAAGCTTTTAACTATCTGTGGAACCATCCAGGCTTTAGTATTTCTGAACAGCTCACAGGAAGGAAACAAGGTATTGCCTTCTACCCATTCCTATCCCCCCAAGAGGTATGTAGGACTGCTGGGAGAAAGCCACTATTGCAAGGGTGTGTGGGCAAGGTGGGCAACACTTCTACACCGCTCCAGTGTAGAAAACAGCAGAGCTGAGCCACTAAATGATAATCTGATACTGACTGGAACATTTTATGATGCCTTCCAACTTCTAGACCCAGAAAGTAGGCCTGTACACAAATGAAATGGGAAGTCCCAACCCCTTTACTACAGAGGCCTCTAAGTTAATTTTGTTCTTTAAAAAAAGACATATTCAACTCTCATTAAAGAGAACAGGCTTACAAATAAGAGCCTCCGATGATTTTCCCACATATTCCTGTTTCCTTGGAAACAAGTAATGAAAATTAAAATGATAAATGAGGAAGTACTCAGCATTCAGTAACAATAAAATTTTAACTCTACTAAGAAGAAAAATATATTATTCTAGAAATATGTATTTTTTTATTTCTTAGCGGAAAGAGAATCAGTGACTACGAGAAAGGAATGTAAAGAGGAACTGCATATTAACATGCTTGTATATGCATGATATCCCTTGTCTTTTATTTCTTACTTTTGAAAAGAAGAATTAAATGTAAGCAGGTTTGGTTTTTTTCAGGTTGCTTCCAATTTTTACCTTATTCTTCTGACAAGTATATTAATTTAAATTCAGACATCTGTGTTAATTCTGGCTTCAGAAATAGCCCCATCCATTTTTTTTCTAAAAGGTCAGCATTGCTGTCCCCGTATGACTTCCCAACTGAACAGACTCTTGAGGGTCAAGTTTTTTTTTCGAGTCTATCTTTCTTAAGGTTTGCCATATCTGAAAGCATAACTTGCCAGAGCTTAAACTGAGCTTTAGAAAGGGCAACTAAAAAGAGTTAAAGTACGAGTAACCAGAAAATAAGGGATAATGTGGGATCTTACAAGTGTTTTCATCAAACCTATTACTGGGTAATTACAAAAGCACAGATATTATAGGCAAGATTGGTTTTGCATTAAATATAGTTTTGTGGATTTATAATATATTTGTTTAAATAATATTTGTTCATTTAATAGCAAGAAAATAATTCGATCTTTTAAGAAATTTAAATTATTTAAAGACAAAGAAAAGCATGAATTTTTATGCATTTAGTTTGATGATAACCATTATGATAATCAGCAACTTAGTAGAGTAAGTCAAGATCTTGAAAACTTTCCTGCAAATAACTAAGCACACAAATTTTTGTGATGCCTCTAATGTCCCTATGAATATATTTTTATAAGTACTGATGACTATTTGAGACACAAAGCATATTAACATCCCAAATCCCTTTTATAATTCCTGTTTGGTAAAATGAAATGAAATCATCATACTCCAAACAATCACTGACTTCCACAGAAACATCACAAGACAAAACATCCTTTCCAGTTGGAGCTAGATGTAATTATAATGAATTGCAGAGAGAAATCTTTGTTCAAAAGGATTAGACACAATGGCTTGGTAGTTAGAGAACAGTGTATAGTCAGAATTATTTTAGCATTAAAATAAGGCTGAGCATGAAGCATTTTTAGGGGAGCTATCTTTTAGAGTGAGTAAGTATGTTTAAATTACCATTCAGTGGTAAAGTCACAAAATAATCTCTGTAACCTGTGAATTGATCAGTCTCAATCTGACAGTTCCTGCACTGATGTTTCACTTCCAGACCCTTTTTATGTACAAAAAAATATGTTTGTAGTACGATGATTAAAAGATATTTTCTTTCACTTTTTTGTCCCTTGGTCTTACATTACTCATTATCTTCCTGCTCTTTTAGCGGAGAAAAATAAATTAATTAAGGATGTTTGAAGATGATGATAGCTCAATGTTCATGACGTGTATAGTGCAGGGATAGTTCATTGAAATAGGTTTAGTTTTGCCTGGAGCACATATATGTCCTAAATAATAAACATATGCTCTAAGGATGTTCTTAGTTAATCCCTTCAATTTGCAAGTGCAATTTCGAGCTTCCCAATCTCCTGTCATTACATAGCATTTTTAGTAACCTGCTTATTTAAGATGCAGTTTTGTCAAGGGAGGTTGTCTCTGTATTTGAGCAGATATAACTGAAAGAGGCTGAGTGGAAGTCAGTTGTTACACACAAGTCTGTGTAACAAGAGCCAGGTAGCATCGATGAGAACTGATAACACTCAAACCCAGCCAAATATCCCATGTAAAAAGCAAATGAAACTAAATTAACACAACCAAGTTTAAAGAGACCTTCCCAGTGAGCTTTAATTTTTATTTTTTTTTAATAATCAAATACAATGGGAGAGTCAAAAAGAAAATGCACTACGGTGTTAAACAAATGTGTGCAGTATGTACAAACTACAGTACATACAGCATGTACAAACTACTTTGCTGTACCTTGTGACTAGAAAATGTTCTACTTCCATTTTTAGATACGTTACCTACACAAGTCCACAAACCCATCCTCCAATGCTGACAACACTTTCTTGCACAGTAGTAGAGTAAAATAATGTTAAGCATGGCAGTAACATTCAAATAATTGCCATTATCATTGTACATTTCTCAAACATTAACTCCCTCATTTTGTATTGTTAAAACAAATTCTTAATTGTAAATAGTGTTTTAACACTGCCATTTGAAACAAGGCATAACTGTCCTCATTTCAACGTACATTACAGAAGCTATAAATATGCCACTTTTCTCAAAAAGTGATACAGTCTATTAAGTCAGTTTTTTGCTACTCTCAAGAAAACTGCATAATTAAGGCTAAAGAGGTATAGGATAAAATTGATGTAAGAATACTTTCTTGTGTCATTTCGTAAATAGAAGAATTTGAAAATATTTCCCAAGATTTAATGCATAAAATACCACAACACCCTTTGTGTGTCTTAATGCTAGTAACTACAAGTGATCAGGAAACTAGTCAGCAATGGCTGTTTGTTCTTTCTTAGAATATAGTTTCAAGAAATGAGAAAATTATAAAAAAACTTGACTATTGCAATTAATGTGTTCTTGTTGATTGTAGCTCAATTTCTTCTACTTTAATCTTGAGAATATGAATTTGAAGAGGAAGTAGAGCCATGCTCTGTAGGTAACAACCAGTGACATGATATTGCTTCCATTTGGAGTGCATAGGTTAAAAAAACCCTGAACAACTCTCTTCCCTTACCTCCCTTAGAAAGTCCTACATAGGGTTCACACCCTATGGGTTCAAATTACAGACAGCAATAACTGTTTGACCTTACTTTACACCCTTTTCTAGTTATGAAAAATGCTAAACCACACAGTCATTAAAGAATTGGAATGATTTCTTTGATTATTTTCTGCTATTACTCAGTAACATTTATTTCAAAACAAAACAAGTTTGAATACTTCCAACCACCCTTGTAAGTTCACCAAAATTCCCTTTCTTATCTCACTGTAGCAAATTACTGGTCCAGAACACAGCTATTAGATTGTTCCAGCTGCAAAGTCCCGAAGTGAAACAGCAATATCTTGGAAGTGCCTATGTTAACTTTTATGACAGCATACTGTCAACTCCAGCTATGTTTGCTCTTGTGCTAAGGATGTGAGCTAAGAAATAAGAGTTCTTGAATAATTCTACTATTTGCTTTGATCCTGGGAAAAGCAAAAGTATTGCTGAATATGAAGAAAAAAAATTTTCTTTCCACTATTATTTTAAAAAAACAAGAATTGTCAAAAACTGTATGACTTGATTTAGAGAAAAAAGAGCAGGCTTTCAGGTATAGATATAGGAAATATATGCTATCCTCCCGTTCAGAGAGAGACAATATATGTCTGGTGACAAGAAAAGTAAAGAACTTCACCAAGAGATTTTATTATTAGTGAATAGTGCAAATAGTAAAAACCAATTATGACTCTGTAACTCAGAGAATTGAAGTGAAAAGGGAAGAAATAAATGATCTGAATATTGGATTATGGCAACCCGTCATTTCTCTGTACTCCTGAACTGGCTCATTTTATACGTCAAGAGCAAATCTCAGCAGTGCCCAGGGTGTCCCCCCACAGAGGGTATGGCATTGCATGCCAGTCGTGCCAGCACGATTTCAGGGCTCTGCCATGGCCAAGACTGTAGCTGTGGAACTCCCTGCCAGGCAGCTGGTGGAGGAGAACTCAGCTGGCACTGGGGGTGGTGGTACCTGTCTGTGTAGGACGATGAACCATTGTGTACTTGCAGCAGTTACCACACCTCTGGAACCTCTTCTTCATGAGATGGCTTTGCAATTAACAGGACCCCCTCAGCATAATGTTGTGCTGGTGAGACTGGTGAGTTTGGAGAGGAAAAATCTTTACCTCATCTCTTTCTCTGTGGCCCACTTCATTCCTACTGACACATCCTTCAAAGTTTTAAATGGATTTTTGTTTCCTGATGTGATGAGAGATTTTCTCTAGGGATAATTAAGAAGGAATGAGTAGATCTGTGAAAAGGGCCAGTTTCTTGTGGATTTGCATCTCATAGTAGAATTCCCTTCTGTCTATTTAACATGTAAATGCCATTTTCAGCAGCTGAAAGCACTTCATAGGTGTTCTCTAAGTCATTTCTTAACCCTTCTTAGGAGGAGGACTGTATGGAATTGCTGATGTTGTGGAAAGCAGCAGCCCCATTATATGTAAATTTCTCTATCTGTCTTTTTGACACTTTACAACTTCTGTCTTAATATTTATAATTTATCAATATTTTCAGAATTTGAATCAAGGACTGCCTGAGATAATATGACCTTGACTTCTCTTAGATGAACAGGATAAAAAGCAATGTACTTCTGTAAGTTTTAACTAAAGCCTAAACAGTACCA